GGAAAGTGCTCCGTGAAATGTGGCAAAAATGCAGTCGTTATCGTCTTCTTGTAACAGTCATCAACAAATGCTGACACCCTATTCAGCTAAAAAGTCAATTTCGGCTGCATTCAATAAATCCAAAAATACTCAGAATAAAAAGTCCAGTAAATCAATGGAAGAAAAATATCCCGCTAAAGAATAGAACTCAACAATGAAATGCTGTCAAGCATTGATAATACTAAGTGGATAATTAATCCATCAAAAGAGCCTTAAAATCCGATGACATAAAAGCACTTGAAAAGAGATTAAACGGCAATGTAGCTGTTAACAGATTAAAATTTGAAGAATTCCTTGTAGTATAAAAGTATCATTAAGTGAAATAGACAAAACCACTGCGGAACAAGTCAGAACACAATATACCTTGACTCTAAAGTATCAGAAGAAAAGAAGCAGCAACTTATCACAAAAAGAAATAGCAGCTCTAAAAAGCTTGAGAAATGACAAAAACATAGTGATCACAAAATCAGACAAAGGTGATACAACAACAGTAGTCGTGGACAAACCTGATAACAAAAACGTCAGTCAACATATTGAAACAGGACCATATGAGGAAGTTAAAAGAAACCTGTGAACACTACTATGAATAAAATCAAAAAATCTACTAGTTATATAGTACCTCGCATGAAGTCATCTTTAGGTGAGTCAAAATGGCTTAATCTTATGCCTAAACCTATTATCCTAATGTAATGTATGTGACTACAAAAATTCGCAAAGCAGGATACCCCATCAGGCCAACAGTTGTCTTTAGGAACACCGCGAAATACGAGTTATCTAAATATTTAGCATCAGTGTTATGATGCCCCATTAGAGTAGAGATATGTCAAATTCTAGGCTAACTAACTCCTATGTAGTGAAACAGAAACCAGAGGGAATTGAATTAGAAAATGGGCGAAAAAATGATTAGTTTTGACATAACCAGCTTTCTTATTATATACCACCAATATTCCCATCAACACAGCTCTAGAGGCAGTTGCGAATGAAGTGAACATTGATTCTGAACTCAAAAGTAGAACTAAGCTCCTGGTTGATGAGATAATATTAGGTATTCAGTGATGTCTGTCTAACCTCCATTATATTCAAATGTCAAAATAAACTATATAATCGAACGAATAGGGTGGCAATGGGTTCACCAATATCCCCAACAGTAGCAGACATATTTATGGATATTCATTATAATAAAGCTTTTTTGTATTTCCCAATGAATGAATGAAAACAAAACGATATTGTTTTTACTGACGTTTCGCTATTTAATGCTGCTGCTAATAGCTTTATCAAAGTATTATTAAACCGGAATTTACAAAATCTCAGCATATATATAACAGAGAGTTAGGAGGTGAGAAAACAGACTTAAGTCAAGTTAAAAGGACATATTGAAAGTCAAAATAACAATGAAGATCACTAAACCAAATAACAAAGGTAACAGTACATCTGTTATGGTGTCAAAACAAAGTTTACTAATTTGATCATCGTTCGTCAGTATGGGGTTATTTTTCATTGTCAATTTGGCCAATTGGTGTAAAATTATAAAACAGCGTGTGTTTATGTAATGATATTGCTTATCACATTCGTGTTGATTTTGTCACTTCATGGGGTAGGGAGGAGTTGCAACGAGGTCAGATTCTGTTTTAGTCCATTATTCCTATTCAGACAATTTGAATTCCATTTGATATGAAGTGCTTCTGATATTAGACGTTCTTTGTGATTTCTGAAGTTTTTTATGATTATTTCAATATTGTCAAAATCAATTTTGTGGCCTGATTCTATAGAGTGTAGACCTATGGCTGATGATTTTTCAAGCTTGTCTAGTTCAAATGGATTTCCCCTTGGTCGAACAGATGCTCTACAGTTTTCATTTCTTCTGATTTTGATTTCTATCTGGCGATGTTTGTCCGATGTATATCGCATCACATTCCAAGCATTTTATTTTGTGGACACAATTAGATAGAGAATCTTTAGCGATTTGGTCTTTTATATGGACAAGGTTGTTTCGTAGTGTGTCTGATGTTTTGAAGAAAACTCTAATGTCGAGCTGATTGAATACTTTTCTGATATCGTCTGACGTCTCTGCTGTATATGGAATGATGACTGTTGAGGTCCATATGATTGAGATATGTGGATGACGCATTCACTGTGTTGAAATCTGAACACATCCCTCATTTTTCTCACACATATAAACTCAACAGTAGACGGAATCTAATTCCCTTCTGAGTTAGAAAACGAACAGAGTGATTAAGCCATGCTAGACTGTAGAATAAAACGCTAAGAAGATAATGGGCTAGATACTGGCATTTATTGGAAACCAATACACTCTAATAAATACATAAACTTTAATTCATGCCATCAATAATCGGTAAAGATAGGTTTAGTTAAATGTCTATATAATCGGGGCAGGAGCCTAACTAGTAAGCCAGAAGATTTAAATAATGAAATCAAACAAAACAATAGTGACGAAAATAACGGAAATAATATAGAATTCAAGACCTCTGTAGCACTGCCAAGTAAAGAAGGAAAGTAGGATTCTTAGTGGGGCTGGAATTAGTCGAAGTGGCATTTTAACCAACCAGTCAACCAACTCTCTCAAAGATAAGCCCTATCTGCCTAAAGACCCAATAGATCCAATTAAGTAAAGCAATAAAGGATTTCATCATGAGCTGACATTGGTTAGAGAACCATTGGAAAACCTGGGAGTACTGGACAGCTGTTTAGTCCTAGTTTGGGACTTTTCATCAGTACGCATCCACCAGGGTACGAACCTAGGACCCTCTATTTACAAGGAGAGCTCGGTGGGTGCGTACTGCCGGAGAGTCCCAAACTAGGACGAAACAGCTGTCGATTACTCTCAGGTTTTCCAATGGTTCTTTAACCAATGTCAGCTCATGATGAAATCCTGTGACCAATCAAATCCCTACAAACCAACACTTGGAAATAATACAATTTAGTGAATATCATGCAATGACTGTGTGGTCAATTACATAGGTCAAACTAGTAGATCGGTCGGGGTCAACTAGATTATTGCAACATCAAAAGTTCAGCTAGCCAGACCTAGAATGACTGATCCTGCTAAGTTAGGTAACCCGGGAAACAGCTCAGTCATTGCATTGCATTGCACTGCATTCACTTGCGTGTAATCACACAGCGATAGAATGGCGGAGGTTGAGATTATTAGAAAGTAATATAGTTAGGTGGAGTGAGAGGGAGAGGTTAGTCACTGAAGCTTTGTTTATCGGTTCAACACTGCGCACACTGGTGTCCCTCAAGGCGCTGTCTTTTCTCCTATTCTTATTTCTTTCTTCTTACATGACTTGCCTCAGTCTCATGAAATAAACTCTGTGAAGTACGCTGATGATTTAACTGTTTCAATGGCTGTTAACTGCCAGCTAGATTGTACCAAAATAAACAGCTTTCTGTCGGTAGTCAGTAAATGGTCTGAGTCTAATGGTCTTAAACTGAATCCTTCTAAATATCAAACTGTTAATTTCAGCTTAAGATGTAAAAGACAGTTAAAAGAAGCCGTCAATTCTCATGACAGTTGTAAGATTGATGACAATGATATAGGAATTAAATCAGAAATTAAGTATCTTGGACTTATTCGCTCTTCTGATCTCTCCTGCTCTTCCCATGTCTCAGCGATCTCCAGTAAAATATTCCGCCTGACATTTTACATTAAGAAGTTAAGGCACTCGGGTATAACTCAACCCCTCCTCCTGCAGTTCATAAACTCTTGCATCCTACCTATTCTTCTTTATTGTTCACCCTTATTCTTTCCTGGTTTGCTTAAAAAAGACTTTGTCACAATTCGTAGAATGCTGAAGACTGTCAGTAGGATGAGTGGTATCCCAGTGGACTACATAGTTAGCGTCGTTGTCGATAGGCACTTGACTTCGTGCAATAAATTTGCCAAAGGGATTTCGTCTGACTTGGAGCATCCACTTCACCCTCAGCTTTCACCTTGCATCTCCTCAGGTAGAACAAGAAGTGACTTCAGAAAACTGTATGCTCGCACGTCTAAGCATAAAAATTCTATTATATCATACTTGGCACGCATTTAATGTGATGAAAATAATGTCAGGCAAGAATTGACTAACCTTTTTTCATCTAGTAAATAAACAATCTCCTCCATCCATCTTTATATACCTTCAAGTTTTACTTTTATTATTTCTATTATATTTATGGTCTTGTTGATTCTTTGTTTTTACTTTCATAGTTGCAAACACCAACTTATCTCTATGAGTGTTGTAATCTTTGTTTTTCCCCTCACCATATAATATAAAGAGAACATTATATTCAATATTTTTAAACATGCTAGGATTTCTATACCGCATCGACAACACTGTGTGGAACATGCCCACAGCAATTTTCACTTGTATTATTATTATTACCTTAGCTGTTATCATTACTATTATTTCCATTTTATAAGCTACATGTTTTTTGACATTAACCCTATGGTAAATGTGGAAAATTTCCTGTGTGATTAATTTTATTTATAATTTGAGGAAATTAGATGCAATATTGTGATTAATGCTGAAAATTCCATTCTGTATCACAAGTACTGTTTTGGAATAAAGTAAATCATTATTATTGTTATTATCACTGTGCGATATTTAAAATAAACTTATCTAATATGGAATTACATTCTGTCACAGTGCCCAAGTTCTACACTTATATAATCACTGATAAGTCCCTTCTACAGGGTTACTGTCAAAGGATCTTCACAATCAAAAATACAATTTAGGTAGTTTATTATCCTCTGTATAATAATAATAGTAATACAGAAAGTCACAAATGAGTGAGTTGTTCTCAATTGAACAATCACCACTGAGTGTTGAGTATAAGTTCAAACTGATTGGATGTTTGAAGGTCAACGGGTGCATTTAACAAAAACAAAATCTTGCTGTAATCTATGATTGGACAACTATCCTTAAATATAAGCTAAATAATGTTCACGACAAAAATGATCATATCAAAAATTTGACTTTTATTTTCTCAGCTGATAGGAATCAATTTTCAAACAAACTGCCAGTATGTAAGTCTATATTTAACCAAGTTGAAAATTTATTCCAAAAGTTAAAAGTGCTTTGTTATTGCTTGGTTAATATTGTTGTTGCATTAGAGACGAGAGGAGAGGAGATCTAATCAGCGACTATTTTGAATACCTCACTTGGAGAATAATACAAAGTTGTATGATTTACTTTAACTTCTTATTATCACTATTTGGTAAATCCTATTAAGTAGTTACGCCATATTTGTGACAGATTTTATCAAATGATAATGTATAAATAAAGTTGTTTAACTTTAGTATTATTTGTTTTTCAAAAGGATGGATACTGAACAAAGAGTACTCTTTTCGATAAATTCATCATCGTCAGGTTCTACAGTAATATATACATTATAGTGAATTAGTGTTATGAACAACATTAATTTTGTTTAAATAACATCAAATCAATAATATTGATAAATTACAGCTCAGTAGCATCAACATAACAATAAACTCAATGTCAGAAGAATTAGGAAAGATAATATTACAAATTCATGAATTTATAGTCTCTACTGAAGGCCAGCCAGGGCAGTAGAAGGGGCTAGACTTGCTTCTTTTGCACAGAAAGCACTGGTTGTTTGAGGCGAATTGCAATAGCCTCTGCTGCTTCGAGCATGCAGCTCTTCGATGGTTTTGGCAATTTATTAGGCACCCGGTATATTATAGAGAAGGATTCTTCCACACTGGCTGGCTTTGTGACCGGTTTGTACCAGATGGTCTAATATCGAACTGTTAATGGTTTTCACTACACCTTTACTTAGCCATACTGGCAGATGTTACCGAGTGAGAACGAAAAATCAAGTTCCTAGAGCAACGGCCAATATAACTCGCTCCACAAGCAGCGCAGTTGAATTGATAGATACAATTTGAAGTGGCTAGTTTAGGTACTTCATCTTTCAGTCGAGATGGCACCATCGGTCGTGTAGTTCGCCAGCATTAAGAGTTCTTTGAACTGATTTTCTTAATTTCCTCGTAATTATCTCACTTGGTATATCGCTCTTGAATTGTAGTCGTATATAAAGTGGCTTCTTGTTCACAGATAGTGAGTAGTCCTTTTCCGCTTTCTTTGTCATGTGTTTCTTGATAAATTTGTCGGGATAGTCATTTTCGATCAAAGTATCATATAAAATGCTTAATTCACCATCAATTACTTCTTCTGAGCATATAGCTCTAACTCTGTGGCTAAGGGTCTTTACTAAATTCCTTTTGTAATTGATGGGAACGAATTTGTGAAAATGTGTATATTGTCGTGTCCATGTACTTTTTCTGTGCAAATTTCTTTTTATGCTACCATCTGGTTTTCTTGTAAGTAGGACATCCAAGAAGGCAATTCTGTCTTGAGATTCCTCTTCACATGTGAATTTCATAGCCGAATGTACTTCATTGAATTCAGTAATTATTGAACTCCTATCAGAACCATTATCAGAATAAATGAAGGTATCATCCATATATCGGCAATAAAATGAGAACTTACTGATAAGGTTGTTCAGAGGTCCATTTTGTAGCTTACTTAGAAAGAAATCAGCGAGAATGGGACCCAATGGGGGACCCATCGCCATCCCGTCCACTTGTCTGTAAAGCGTGCCGTCAAATTTGAAGTTTACATTCATGGTACATCTTAGTATCAATTCTTTTAGGATTTCAGTATGGATGCCAATGTTTATCGACTGCTTGTCCACTTGTTCACATATATAATTAACTGTTTCTATTAGAGGTACATTTGTGAATAACGATGTTATGTCCAGAAATATCATGGTTTTGTCCTTGATATTAATATCTTTTATTTTGTCTACGAATTCAAATACATCTTTGACGCTATTTTTCACTATCTTATCATGCAAATGTTTGAGAATATTTACTAACCATCCATCTAGCTAGAGCATGGTACGGCGAATTTTGCATATCAAGTATTAGTCTTAACGGTACCCCAGGTTTATGGATTTTCGGTAGGCCATACAATCTTGGCGTATACTTACGTGCCCGTTGGCCTGATTTCTTCATATAAACTTTCAGAAAATATCTGCTCCTCCTCCCTTAGTTGCTTCAAACGTCTGGTTAATTTATTCTCTATTTTGTTGCTGAAATCTTTCTTCTCCTCAAGTTTTTGAAACTTCTGTGTGTCCTTCAATATATATCATTCATCTTTTTAATATAGTCACTTCTATCAAGGAGGACTACTCCTGATCCTTTATCCGGCTTTGTGATTATCAGTCTCTCATAATTTATCAGTTTGCTTGTGTCTATCAGTGTCTGTCCAGTATGGGACTCTGTAGCTAGTTTTACCTGTATTGTATATGCAGGAATGTGAACCCAGCATTTATCGATTCAAAGTCTTTAGCGTTATCCCTGTAAGCCAGCAGGCTTACATGAGAGCCAACTCATGTACAACTTCTATCATCAGTATCTAAATAACTTCAAATAGATATCTAACTCTAGTCTGAAAAGGGTATTATTTTAGTTCAGTTCTCTAATGAATACAGAGTGGATGTGCATATATATGCATATATATACCTAAAAAGTGAAGCTCTAATTACTATTCTTAACAGCCTCAGTACAGCAAAATTTCCGTAATTCATTAAATTGTTTACCAATGCTAAAGGTTACGGTCACATTCCTTTGTGAATGTAAAATTAAAATCTCACTAACACTTGAACTGAGCACTAATTTGTTTGTTTAAATTAACTAACATTGACCTACATACAGATAAATAATTCAGTATGTGTACTTTAGACCAATGCCACGTGTTTATTTGTACTAAAAGGGAAAGACTAGTGAGACTGAAAATATCGACGTTGCTAGGTATTTTCAGTATTACTATTACTTGTAATTTTATTCAAACAGCAGCGGTACGGCTTTATTGACTGGTCGATGTTTTGAGCACGTTTTATTACTGCTGGTAATCACATCAATAAGCGGTCACAGTTTACTTTAGACGATGTCCTCTCTCGCTTGTTCTTCGTCTCAATTTTCCATATGTCCACTATAAACGTTGTGTCATTTTGACAACACTTATTTAGTGTTGATTCAATGAAAAATTCCCATCCGAACATTAGCGAAAACAAGACAGGTGGTTCAGCGAAGAGGCTGCTTTTGGAAAATTCATTTCTTTTAGCTGTACAATCACATTTATATACAATTTTTTTTATGAAAGAGGATAGTAACAAAAGTGATCTCCTTGGTTTCCACTTGTATCCGGGTCACAACTCACTCATCTTATTACGTAACTGTAATACTCTTATTCAACGTCTTTTATTTTTGATTTTTGATTATAGCTTGTTTCCACACAGTACTTTTAGTAGAAGTATGGAATTTTCAGCATGTGATGTCTGTGGCCCAAATTTGTCAGGCCGACCATTGATGTCAGGTGTGCGTCTGCAGGGGATCGAACCCCGGACCATATTTATGATCGGCGAGAGTCCTAACCGCTGTGCCACCGACGCACATTGACTAATATTAACAAATGTGTTTGTAATAACTCATCAGTTTTGTTATTTCCCTCCTTCATGGAAAAAATTATATATTATTCCAACTGTATAGCTAAAGAAGATGAATTCACCGAAAGGGGGCCTCTTAGCTGAACTACCGGTCTTGTTTTATTAACGTTGATTCAATGAACACAGATTCTGTGATTTACCTCTCTATCTCTCTCCATCTAACTATAATACTTTTTAGTATTTCTACTGTTTCTCACTCTATTATATGATTACATGCAGGTGAATGCATGGCAATGACAGTGTTCTTTTCACTAGGTCTAACTTTATTTTTACTTTGAGAAACTGTTATACGCCATGATCTACTAGCCTGACCTATGTAATTTGCCTCACAGTCATTGCATAGCATTTGTCAAATTATAATATCTTTCTTGATCGGATTTATCGGAACCTAAAAGTAACAAAGCTCGTCTCTAAAACAGTCAGTTTGTTTAAACGCTACTCTAATTAAGAAACCGTGTGGATGCGCACTGACATGATTATGAGGAGTAAATTCTGCTCGAAACGTCATCCAGTTATTAATATTATATCACTACTATATGTTACATGGAATAAACTTATTCAATAGGGAATTACATTCTACCTGCGTGCCCAAAGTCTACTGATAAACAATAACTTTTATTGTATGGATTGTATTCATTTCAAGTCTGGACAGTGATTCTGGAGGTTGCGAAATTTTTTGTTATTTATTCTTTTGCGTCTCCAGTGGAACATAGGGCTTCAAGCTACGGGCTTGAAGTTTCCGTAGCAGTGGGTGTTTACTCTTACGGGTTGGGGTTGCTAGCCTCATGCTAAACCTTCCCTCTTTATCAGTCTAATTACTGGCTTAGTAAGGTAAAGGAGTGAGTCGGCCGGGTATCGAACCCCACACCAGCTGAGGCTTGGTTGACGAGCCTTCTACCGCTGTACCACCAGTGCCCACCAAAACTTATGACTAATGGTATGGAGAGCATTGACCCAGCCGGGATTCGAACCCCGGACCACTCACATCCAAAGCTAGTATCATACTCCTAGACTACTAGGCCGAGATCGCGAAATGTTTAAAGATAATTGTTTCTAATTAGAAAAGCTTAGGAGAAGATTCGAAGATAATGTAGAACAATGAGGTTATTATCGAAACCACGAAAATTTGACTGTAATTCAATCATCCAAAGACTGATATATTCTGTTGTAACATAAACTTGATCATATTTCCATGTCTCTAATTATTTTATGCTGATGACTTACCAAAATGTAGATTTCTTCAGGAACTGATATTGGTTATAGGGTTATTGAAAGATGGACTAGTGGAAAACTGTTTCATCATTTGAAAGAGAAAAAACATTCAGCCAAGATTTACTCTTTTTTATCGATATCATTCTCAAGCTGTACAATCACATATGTATAGTAAATTTTGCATAGAGACGAAAGAAACATTTCAAAAAATGTGTCATTAGAATTGTAAATTCTAGATAAAAAATTACTCAATATAACAAGAGTCAGTCATGTAGAAACTAT